ATATAGCATTTTAAAACTTTTGCAACCAGAAGCTGCTCTTCATTTTAGTGACAAACTTTGGTGTTTTTTGATGAGTTACTTTAATTTTTACTTCTACTTTTCATTTAAAATAAGTTTCCATTCTCAGCAGGTTTCTAAGGTTCTTCTTCTACATATTAAAGAAGTTGTTAAACATCTGAGTGGTGCACTACTGCTACTAGTGGTGAGAAAGTGCATTGCACCTTATTCAAAATCAGTGTGGTCCCACGGCCCTCTGCGGCCCAAAGTTAAAAACTGTTGTTCTTTTGAGGCCCTCAAGGTGGCGCTCGCGGCCCACAATTGGGCCATGGCCCATAGGTTAAGAATCTCTGCCTGAGAATGACTCTTAGCTACTACCAGTCCACATTTTAGACCAGTGACCTTTAGTCCAGGTCCTCGGGGGTCCCTATTCTGCATGTTTTAGATGTTTCCCTGCTCTTCAGTGGGTCTGGAGAAGCTTGAGGACCAGGATTTAGGACCACTGTKTCATACCAACATATGCTAATTCACTGAGTTATAGCTGTCTTTGTGTTTGTTAAGGTTGATTAGCTGTGGTGGCCATTTTGAATCAAGATTACTCCAAAAGTTAATCACTTACTTTCTGAGAACTTTATTGAAATATGTCCAGTGAGATATTTTGCTAACTGATRGACAGGATTGACTCCAACAGGTAAGGAAAACATTTTGGACAAAGACTTTGCCTGATCTGTTAGTTTTTTGAGTTTTTTGAGTATGTGCTGATAGCCATCACCTACTACCACAGAAAACCTTCAGACATCCAAACCTACAATCAAATACAGCTTTAAAAAGGTTTCTGGAATGTATGAAAATCAGTATTCAAGTTATGTGGGCATTTTGTCTAAAYGTGAAGCTGTGGCATTAAAAAAATATGAACCTTTATGCAGAATCACATTGTGTTCAGCTTCTTTTAACACTTTCTTTACTCAGACATCTTTGAATTTGAGTGAACAAGTTTAAAACCTGGAAGAACAAAATGTAAATTTAGTAACAGAAATAAAACTAGAGTTTGCATGTTCTGTCTGTGCATGCGTGGGTTTTCTCCAGGCACTCTGGCTTCTACCCACATACCAGAAACATGACTGTTAGGTTAATTGGTAACTCTAAATTGTCTCTAGATGTGAGTGAGAGAGTGAATGGTTGTTTGTCTTGTCTCTATATGGCCCTGTGATAAACTGGAAGCCTGTCCAGGGTGTCCCCGATCCCTCACTGTGACTGCTGGATATGGGCACCAGCAGTGGTGGGCACAAGCCCACCAAAGCGCAAATCCGCTARTTGCGCACCTAAATATTTCATTTGCACTTTAGCGGACTTATTAATGATTATAATTCTTAAGCGGTTTTGCGCTTTCTAAAATTAAAATGCAGTACCGCTAATAACTAATTATCTGCCAGTCATCATTATCTTGAACAGCAGAAGGTATGGCTGTCAATGAATCACAACGCACGTGATCTATCCAACAGCACCCCTCCCAGATAAACACACTTATTRWGAAGGTATACATCCTTCCTGACTGTCGCTTTGAGCCACRATTCTGATTTCCCACAATGCTTTGTGTCTGCTTACGTAGCATGAAAGCAACAGCAAAAACAGTAAACATTTGTAATCCATACTAAAATTTTGTATGTAATGATTTATTTTAATTTACAATCAGAGCTCCTTTTTAAAAAAAAAAAATAAAAGTTTAAATGCTGGAGCTCAAAAGCAATTGGATAACGGTGTTAGAGACTCAGAAATGATTTAACGATGTTATGACGGTGAAGACAGACATCTAGTGGTCAGCTGCAGCAACTACATGAAAACGTCCTAATCCATGTAGAAAAAAAAATCAAAAAGAAAATATCAGTAGGTCCTCTGGATGGGTTCTTCTTTAGTGAAACGTTTCGTCTCCTCCAAGAGACTTTTTCAGTCTGATGAGTTTCAGGTGAACTGGAAATCTTTAAAATCCAACGGAAGTGTAAAAAAACTTAAATACCCAAGCTCTTATTTTGAAGGGAAGATACTAGTTTCCTGTTCCCCGTGCTTTTGTTTCACATCAATCCGTCATGTACCCAGAATGCATCGGTTCAGTTTTCCAATAAATAGTTTTTAAAATTACTTTATTGATGCTTCTTTAATGAAAAATCTACAACAAACAAAAGAAAAAGACAAAGAAGCAGCCRAACTAGCAATCCTCAACAACTTTTTAAAGAAGCAGCYGAGCTAGCAAGCCTCAACAACATTTAAATTTTTAGACCAGGAGCCAAAGTTCTGTTACAGGAAATCAGATCCCCAGCAATCAGCGGTTGTAGGATTAAGCTGTACAAGGGTTCATACACTGCTAGTGTGCAGTATTGTGCATATGGTACATGAATTGTCAGCTAGTAAGTGTCAAATTGAACATGCGCTTTAAAATTAACTTCCTCTAATTTTTCTATGACATAAGCGTTCTTGAAGTTGCAGACCTAAATATTTTCATAAGCACTTTAGAAATTGCKGCACTAATTTTTGGATTAGCGCTGCCCACCACTGGGCACCAGTAACCCTAGTGACCCTGAAAAGAAGAAGTGGGTATAGATAATGGATGGATGGAAATAAAAATAAATCCATAATTAATATTTTGTACCTATTTAAATGTTTGGTCTTTTCCAGTGTATTGTAGTTCATCATAAAGTTTAACTTTTATTATTCAAACTAGTTGGAGTGATTTTCTTACACTGCTAGAAGACATTCCTGTTTATAGGGCGCCATCATGTCTTGAATTCAATTGCAAAATAGACCATGTAGCCAACAGAACCAA